ATAATAATAATAATAATAATAATAATAATAATAATAATAATAATAATAATAATAATAATAATAATAATAATAATAATAATAATAATAATAATAATAATAATAATAATAATAATAATAATAATAATAATAATAATAATAATAATAATCATTATTATTATTAAAATTAGCATTAGCATTGTTATTATACCTAACAATAATAATAATGATAATATAATATTATAATAACTAATGGTTAATAACAAAACTAATAATAATATCATTAAATAATAATAATCTTAATGACAATACTAAGATAAATAATAACAACATTAAGAATAATAGTAAATAATGTTGTATTAATAACCTTATTACTAGCAGCTTAGTGAAATAAATGAGGAAGAGTGTAGGATCTCTAGATCGGCAAAGGGGATGGCTGAGATGAAGTTCGGGTCTGGAGCTTTGGTTGGTGGGGAATCGGAAAACAGGAGCAGGGCAAAGTTTGGCGTCGGGTAGGGGAGCGTCTGCTAGAGTCGGATCGAGCGGCTTGGTGGAGATCGGAGCAAGAAGCTCGGCTGCGAGCGAGGTAACTTTTTTCGGACGTTACAACATTTTGATCTGAAGCAACGACGGTAGCTCGCTCGCTGTGAAGGTAACTTTCTCCCTTTCGCACGCTTCTTCGGCCAAATCCCGTAAATCCGACTTCTAGCGGGATTAGGATTTACCGGGATTTAGCGGTCGCAAATCCGGGATTTACGGATTTGCCGGATTTACCGCTACTTTTTTAGCGTTTGGCTGGATTTACCGTAAATCCTACTAAAAACTCGAAATAAATCCGATACCAAACACCCCCTACGGTCCGTAAATCTTGGTAAATCCGGGATTTACTGAAAAAAGTGGGAAACGGAGGATTTATTCGGCCGTGAGATTCAGGGCGTTCAAATCCTGTTGGCAGACAGCCCTTAAATCTTGCATCCAAACAGCCCCTTCATTTCTCGCTCTTGTTCAAGCCGTGCGATGCAGAAGTCCGAACGTCTCGTCCTTAGACTCGCCATATTTTCGCGGTTTCTCCTGATATCTCTAATCGTCACATGGAGATTTCTCTACCCGCCCTATGATTCTTCAGCTCAACTTAACCCTAGCTGCCTCTCTTCGTCTTCGACGGCCGACGATCTATCTCATTTGAAGGAAGCTGATCGAGTCTTATGGCCGCGGGCTGGGGCGGCGATCGAGGGAAGCGTTGTATGGGACAGTGTCTACTTTGTCAGGATCGCCGAGTGCGGTTATGAGTACGAGCAAACCTATGCTTTTCTTCCACTCCTCCCCCTGTCTATTTCCTTGCTTTCGCGATCCGGTGAGGGGATAGTTCTGTTCTTTACTCTCATTTTGTTTTGTGGAATCAAGTTATTATTTTTAATTTTTTTGATAGTTGTACGGATCTTTTGCAGTTTTTGCTCCTTTGATCCCTGTGATTGGATACAGAGCTGTGCTGGCGCTGTCGGGTTATGTGCTGAACAACATTGCGTTTGTTCTTGCTGCCATTTATTTCTACAAGTAAGCTAAGACTCGTGCAATTATTGTAATGGATCCTTTGCTTGAATCATATTTTGTAGTTGATCCTAATGAATTTTGTTGGACAAGGCTCTTGTTGGTTTAATTTAGCGAGCGATAGTGTTTAAAAGTGCTTTAAGGTTGAAACACATCTATAAAGAAAAAAAGATCATTTCACTCTAAAGCAATCAAAATGGCGAACCTTTTGAGGACCGGGGTTGCCAAATGTATTCCTTTTTGTAAGCTAAACTTATGCGCTTTCATTGACTGTAAAGAGATTATTGGTGCAGGCTTCTGCATAACTCAATTACAAACAGAGAAAAATGGTGAAGGAATATATTTGATTGAAATTCATCTACATTTCACCTTGAGTCTTCTTTAGACAATACATGATATAAATATATGCTATATGTGAGTAGTGGAGAACAGTTATTCAGTTATAGAATTGTGATAGTTTCACGCTTGAGTAGTGGAGAGTAGTTTTGCTAAGTGGAGATATTGAGTTGCTGCTCCATTTACTTTGTAGTTGGAATACCGTTATTACCGCCCCTCAAGCTGATGGTGAAGTCTGAATAGTCAGCTTGGTTATGACATGTTGAAATTGTTTTGTTGGAAGAGCTTTGGTGAATATATATGCTGGTTGGTCTTTTGAGCTAATATGAACCACTAGAATTTCTTTAGATTGTATGTTCTCTCTTATGAAATGATAGTCAACTTCAATGTGCTTAGTTCTAGCATGGAAGATGGGATTGGTTGCTAATGCAAGAGCATGCAAGAGCTAATATAATATCACAGTGTAATTAGTGGGATGGATTGTAGGAATACCGAAGTCGTTTAGTAACCGGTGTAGCCATATAATCGCAGTAGCTTTTGTGGCAAGTGCTTTGTATTCAACTTCGGTGGAGCGAGCAACAATGGGTTGTTTCTTGACACTCCAAGAGATTAAGGTGTAGCCAAGATAGGCACAATACCCTGTGGTGGATTTGCAAGTGCTAATATTACTAGCCCAGTCAAATTCAGAGGAGGTGAGAATAAGAGGGCCATGTAAGATGGGAAGGCCATAATTTAGTGTTCCTTTGATGTAGCGTAGTAGGCGTTTGAGAAGCTGAAAATAGGGTTGTGATGGAGTATAGTTGGCATTCAGTCGATGTTAGCATTGTAGAGCCATATGCCCACATTGCCCATGTATTTGGCAAATGATGGGTATGGAGCGGCCTTGACGAGGTACTAAAGGAGCAATTGGTGGACGGTTTGCGAAATGTTGACCGACGCGTCCACGATATCTGGAGGAGCGACCCTTGGATGTGTAGTGTTGAATGAGAATCAGTTAATGCTGGATTGCAGGGTTTTTGGCCAATTCAACAAGAATATTAATCTCTTCACTCAGAATAAGAGAATATAAGTTCTCAAGGCTTATCAAATTATGTTGAGTGTAGATAGAGGTTTTAAAGGCTGATACGATGATGGTAGACCGTTTAGGATGTAGATAATAATGTCTTTGTTGTCCACTATAGAATCGGCTGCTGCAATGTTATCTACCAATGTCTTGATTTCAGTAAGGTACTGAAGCATTGATAGATTCTTCATCTTAATATTGTGAAGTTCGTTTTTTAGTTGAATGACTTGAGAACGGTTGGTAGATTGCAGTTGACGTTCAATGGTGATCCATATATCTCATGATGATTCAAGATTGATTGCATATGGAAGGATGGTAGGTGTGATTGTGGAACATATGGAAGCCGCTAAGTTCTTATCGATGAGATTACATTGACCCAAGGTAGGATTATAAATGGACTGACCATTGAAATCAATGACCATAGAGGGCGACATAACAGTCAACCCATCAAGAAAGCCAATGAGACTATTTGCTCGAACTAATTTGAGAATTTTTGACCTCCATATTTGATAGTTTTCATTATGAAGTTGAGTAGGTATTGTTGTCTTGATATCGGAGAGAGGAGGGAATGAGAAAATCATTGAGTGGGGATGGTGATGCAGTGACCAGAGAAGTGGAAGATTGATCCATTGTACAGTTGTTATTAGGCAATCAGTGCCCTGATACCATGAAGAGATTCTCGGTTCAGTGCTTCTGCATAACTCAGTTACAAACAGAGAAAAATGGTGAAGGAATATATTTGAGTGAAACTCATCTACATTCCACTTTGTGTCTTATTTACACAATACATGGTATATATATGCTAAATGTGAGTATTGGAGATCAGTTGTTCAGTTATATAATTGTGACAGTTTCACGTTTGAGCAGTGGAGAGCAGTTTTGCTAAGTGGAGATATGGAGTTGCTGTTCCATTTTCTTTGTATTTAGAATGCCGTTATTAGCCTAGAATGTAAATTATCTACAAAATGTAGGTGGAGTTTTTCTGCTTTAGGAATAACTGCAATGGTTTGGAGAAAATAGTATTTATAGCCTAGAAATTTTCTATGCAAGTTTTGGAAAGATGTGATTGAAAAATCCAATGGTTTAGTGTTCTTTTGCAAGGATAATGCAGACTTGGATGAAGTTGTTGGCTTGCCTTCATTATGACTTGGAGGTCTTGAGTTTGATTTATAGAAATAGCATATCTTCAAATGCATGGTAATGTTTTAATGTGCTATGAGAAGATCATAGACTCCAAGATTATGAGTGTATCTGATCGGTATTTTTTGTAGGCAAATTAAGTGGTAGATGCAGATCTACTCAAAGATTCTCCTTTTCAGAAGTTTTTTTGTTCCTAATACAAAGCTTCCAATGGGTGTAAACTCCTATTTTTAATTACCCATTTCGACGCAGGAAAGAATATTGATTAACAATAGCTGTGAAGCTCCATAATAAATTTTACATTATTACAATTCTCCATTTAAAATTTTTGTCAAACTTGCTATGAGATTTTAATATTCATATTTTCCCTCTTAAGAAGACGGTGAGAGGATGATGATAAGATTGATCATTATCCAATGATTCTTTCATCTTTAGGTTTGTTGGTTATCTTAAATAATTTGAGAAAAGCATGGATTAACTCGATCAAGGAAACCTTTTTGACCTAGGGTCAAAAATTTGCAAATGAGGCCAAATTTGTGGTATGCCTAGGCTAATAAAGGGGTTGTAACCTTCATGGGTTTATCATGTTTTCTAGTCCTAGGAACAATCCACCATGACTTGTTAGATTGGCCTGAAGGAGTTGTCCATTGTGCCATAGGAGTTGCAGGCTTGCAGCCTTGCAGGATGTAGGATTGTCAATTTTTAGTTAGTCTTGTAAGGAATATTGCACTTTTAAAAAATAATTGTTTTTCTGGTAGTTTTCAATGAAAGTAGATACATGAGGATGAATGGTCTTTCTTCTAGTCTTTTCTGAGGCATTGAGTCATCATTTCCAGTTGTATTATGTGGCAAGATTATCAACTTTACTTGAGCTTCCTCCCTTGGGAAATCTGGATGCACAATTTTCTTTGGAGGGAGGCTTTTGGAGAGCAAGTAACATGTCTTTGCAACATCATTAAGATGGGCTTAGCATAGACCATAGCTTTGACAAAAGCGGGTGCAAAGCTGTTGCATGATGTAGTCTTACTTCATATGATCCAATGCATAAATAAGGACTTATTGCTTAGGGTATTTTTGGCCACATGATTGTTTAGCTTTGTCATATCCACTAGTCTAGGATCTATGCATTGATAAGCTTTATATAAGTGAGCCTGCTCTTACGGAGTTGGAACTATTCTTTGCTCTCATGGTGCTCTCATAGTACTTCACATGATATGCATGGGGCTTGATGTAGTCGTAGGAACCTCAACACTTAGTGAACAAAAGTTGACATCTCATGGGAGCAAGTTTATGCTTTGATTTACTTATATATGTTGGCATCTTTCATATTCGAGCATTATATATATCTCATAGGGATGAGCTACCTTACCATGATGTAATTGCCTAGAGTCTCATCAATAGGGATGCTTGAGAGCTCCTTTATTTTTTATTTTTACTTTTGATTATATATATGTTGTCTCATGCAATAAACATGTTTTGTTTTTCATTATCAATCTTTAAGCATTGCAGAGCACTTCATCAACATTATTATGGGTTGGTTGTGCTATCACAACAACAACAAGAAGCTTTTATCCCACTATGTGGGGTCGGCTACATGAATCATTTTTCTCCATTGTGTATAATTAAGGATCAAATTCTCATCTAAATCTAATAAAGAAAGGTCATTTCTAATATTTTCTAACCAAGTCTTTTTAGGTATACCTCTACCTTTCTTAACATAACTTAAATCTAATACATCTACTTTCCTAACCGGGTCATTGGAATACCACAGTTTTATGTGACCAAACCATCAAAGGCGACTCTCCCTAATCTTATCTTCTATTGGAGCTACTCCAACCTTTTCAGTATATACACATTTTGTATCTTATCTTTAAGTAAGAGTAAATCCACTCATCCACTTGAGCAACCTCATCTCTTTGACACTTAACTTAATATTATGCTTCTCTTTTAATGGACAACATTTTTCACCATAAAGCATTACATGTCTCACTACCATCTTATAGAATTTTCCCTTAAGTTTGAGCGGGACTTTTCTATCAGATAACAAGCCCGATGCGTTCCTCCACTTCAACCATCCAATTTGAATTCCACTAATAATATCCCCATCTATTTCACCATCACTCTGAACAATAGACCTACGATATCTAAAATGTGTGCTCTTATTAATGACTTGATCGCCCAAAGTCACAATCCTTCCACTTCCATATATTCAGTTTTAGGTCTACTCAAATGAAAGTCTTTAGACTCTAAGGTTGACCTCCATAATTCAAGTTTACCTTCAACTCCCTCTCTAGTCTTATCAACAAGAAAAATATCATCATCAAAAAGCATACACCAGGGTACAACCTCTTGCAAATGTCTAGTGAAAACATCCATGACTAAAGCAAAAAAGATATGACCTTAAGACTGATCCTTGATGTAATCCAACTAAAATAGGAAAATACTTGGTCAAACCACCTTGTGCTTGAAAATAAATAACAACTCCTACATACATATCCTTAAGGACTTGAATATTAGCATTATTAACATATTTCTTATGTAGAATGCTCCATAGCACTTCTCTTGGAACTTTATCATATGCTTTCTCTAAATCAATAAAAATCATATGTAGATCCTCCTTATTCTCTCTATACTTCTCCATCAAACCTCAGAAAAAATGTATAGCTTCCATAGTAGACCTACTTGGTATGAATCCAAATTGATTTTGAGAAATTTAAGTGTCACGTCACAACGTATATTCCATAACTCTTCCATATTTTTAAAGTTATGACACATTAACTTAATTCCTCTAATTTGCACAATCTTGTGCATCACCTTTATTCTTAAAAAATAAATCTCATTCTCCACTCATCTGACATCTTTTTTGTCTTTAAAATAATATTAAAAAGTTTAGTAAGCCAAGAAACTCCATCTTCTAAGCATTTCCACACCTCTTTTTGAATATCATCAGGTCCAACAGCTTTTCCGCACTTCATTTTCTTTAAAGTCTCTTTAACTTAGGTTTTACTAATACGCTGATAAAAACTAAAATCTTTATTTTCATTTAGGGTGCTAAGGTCACTAAAGTTAATCGCATTCTCATAATCTTTATTAAAAAGTTTAGCAAAATATCTCATCCACCTTTGTTGAATATCTTTTTCTAGTATTAACATTTTTTTATCTTCATCCTTAATATACTTCACTGAAACTAAATCTTTACTATTATCTCTTTGTTTAGCTAACTTATACATATATCTTTCGCCCTTCTTAGTATCTAATTTATTATATAAATTATTAAAAGCTAAAATCTTTACACTGCAAATTGCTTTCTTAGACTCCTTACGAGCCTCTTTTTATCTTTCCAAAGTATCAAAGTTTTTACAGTTAAATCAATTTTTATGACAAATCTTCTTATTTTTTATCTTTTCTTGCACATTTTGATTTTACCACCAATTATTTTTACTATTAGTAGTTTTTCCCTTTGATATTCTAAGCACATTTTTAGAGGAAGATCTTGCTCTCCCCACTCTCTAGACGCCGCTAGTGCCCTCACAAGAAACAGGAACATCAAACTACAGCAAAAATCAGGATAAAAATCTCATCCTAGCCCCTAAAACCCACTTAAACATACAATCCCAAAACAACCCCTTCTATTTGAATTTTCCCTCCTAAAACTCTCTTAATTTTCTCTTAATTAAGCTAGTGGACCCCACTTGGATGGGGCGGCAGGCATAGGGGGCAGAAAATGCCTGTTCCGCTTATGATAATGGCAGGGGCGGAACTATGAAGAGCTTAGGGGGGGCAATTGCCCCCCCTCAAAAAAAAAATTTTTTTTTTTATAGGAGTAAAAATTTTTAAAAAAAAATTATAAGAGAGTAAAAAATTTTTTTGCCCCTCAAATTTTTTTTTTTGCCCCCCCTAAAAAATTCTTTTGTCATCTTTTGTCCTAACTTGCCCTAAAATATCTATATATTTCTTCACATTTAGTTCTAATATTCTCTTTCATGCTTTTAATAACAGTTTAATTACACATTTTTTCTTAATTTTTCTTGCTTAATTTTTTTAAAAAACTTTTCGTAATATATAGATATATAATATTTTTTTTTTAATATTTAATTATTTTTGTGCTGTATTTTTGCCCCCCCTCAAAGTTAAAGCCGGTTCCGCCCCTGGATAATGGTGAACCGGTCCTAACAGGACCGGTCTATCAGCTTGCTGGTTAGTCCTGAAGCTTTTCTTGTTTAAATGGTTTTCGTTAGTAGGGTTGATATGGTTAGGGGTCAATTTTGACATATATTCTCGTCTGAGCAGGTTTACCTAAAAGGCACTTATAACGTACGAGAACTATTAAGTAGCTTGTAATACCATCGTCAAAATCATTCTTATTAAGTTTCAACTATCGGTTATTAACGGTTTTATTTTGGTGAAACTTTTAATTCAAGCATTTGATCTTTTCAGCCACCTTTATCTCTTAGGAATGGTTAGTGCATAGCATTACTTTTGTTTAGGCAGTAGAGTGCATTTATATATTATTATTTGGTAATTTGCCACCGAAAAATAGTTTTTAAAATGGAAGTCTGTAATGCTGCCTTATTATTTCTTATGTTTGTTATTTTTAACGTGATCAGAATTTCAGAACTCTTCTTTTAATGGTATATCTTCTTCTTTTACAGGTTATCATTTTTAATATTAAAGGACTCGGCAGCTTCCTTGCAAGCTTCTGTTTTGTTCTGTTTCAACCCTGCCTCTATATTCTACTCATCAATGTAAGGTTTTTATACTTTTAGAGTTTCAAACAATTTGAACTTTAAATTTGGCATGGATAGTTTACAACAATTTTGTTGTTGGCAGATATTCGGAGAGCCTTTATGCGCTATTTTCACTTTGTGGATTATTTTACTTATTTTCTGGTTCAAATTATGTGGCCTTTCTCCTGCTTGGTGTGTGTGGTACAGCTAGATCAAATGGAGCCATTCATGCTGGTTATTTTTGCTTCAAGGCATTGCTTCAAGCTTATGATGCCATCACCAATAAAAATAGCATCAGTGTAAGTTAGTGGGTCCAACATCTTCCTATCTTCGTCCATTGAATATGGAAATAGAAATTAAGTGCAACATTTATTAAGACATCCTTATACGAATGCACAGTATTAACATAAATCCTCATTTAAGATAGTGTGCTGTTAGTTTTAGATGCATAATTCAACAAATGATGAGCAAGATGAAAATGCTTACAATAGTGAGTAATATATTGACATATTGCACTGTAGTCATTGGTAGAATTAGAAAGTAAGAGGGGAGACAAAGGAGTTTATCCAAACTTTAAGAAGGAAAGAGGGGCGCCGCATACATGATTGCAAGAGATTTCAAGGGTAGAATTTTTGTGTTATACATAACTATTTAGGGTTTTCATATCTAGGGAGGCAAGAGTTATTGCTAGCCCTCTTATTCCACCACTAAATGTAATGTTACGCTTGCTTTAACTATGTAATTTTATATTACATTATTGTAATGCAAGTAATTAGGATTACATTTGATGCCAAGGGTAATGTTTTTGAAGCACAATGATAATTTCGTCAATTAAATGAAAAAACAAGTTAGAGCACGATCTAGAATTGGATGTCTAGAAGATTTTTAGAATTGGTTGTAATTTTTTTTTACAGTAAGGATGATCTAGCATAATCCTTTCAATGTGATGGCAAGAGATCCTAATTAGAGGATTTGTTGAGTTTCTTGATGAAGGGACTTCTATCTTATTTTTTAATTCTTTTTGTTGCCACTACAATGCTTATTGTTTGCTATAGTTGTTGCAGTTGGCTATAATGTTTGTTGTTGGTAATTTGGTATAGTACAACAACAACAACAACAACAACATCAAGCCTTTATCCCACTAGTGGGGTCGGCTACATGAATCATTTTCCTCCATTGTGTCATATTAAAAGTCAAATTCTCGTTTAAATCTAATAAAGAAAGGTCATTTCTAATATTTTCTAACCAAGTCTTTTAGGTCTGCCTCTTCCTTTCTTAACATAAGTCAAATATATTACCTCTACTCTCCTAACCAGGTCATCGGAAGGCCGCCGTTTTATGTGACCAAACCATCTAAGCCTACTCTCTCTAATCTTATCATCTACTGGAGCTACTCCAACCTTTTCACGCATATGCTCATTTTGTATCATATCTCTAAAGGTAAAGCCACTCATCCACCTGAGCATCCTCATCTCTTCCACACTTAACTTAGTATAGTCTCACACTATTAACTTGGTATAGTCTCACACTATTATTATAGTTCCCGAACAAAGAAGAAGAGAGAATCATTTGTGAGAGTTGGATTATTTTCTATTGTAAGAAATAACTTTTAAGTAAAAAAAAGCCACTATAATTAATTTAAAGGAATGTTTAAGCTAACTGTTTTTTTCATGTCTTTTATAGAGCTTCTTTTTTAATGCACTGTATTTCCTCCTGCAAAGAGTACTATGTTTTAAATTATCTGATACTTGGACAAGTTAAATTCGATAAACATAATAGTAGTTTCAATAGGTTATCTTCTTATGTATCTAATCATTTATGTATCTAATCATCTATGTTTGTCGTTAAGTTTGCTCTGCAGGCTATTGTTGGTGGAGCCGCTTACTCAATTTGTCTGTTTGTTCCATTTGCTGCTTTCCAAGCTTATGGATACTACAATATCTGTGTTTGTGCTTCGAATGGGTTGAGACCATGGTGCAACTCAAGAGTACCTAATTTGTATGGTTATCTTCAAAGTCATTACTGGTACTTACTGACGTTTTACATTGTTTTTTCATTATATTTGGCATTTGTTCCGTTTTTTTAAACTCATTACTGGTAATTACTCGAGTTTTAGATTGTTTTTTACATTATATTTGGTATTTGCACTGTTAGTCAAAACAACTGTAACACTTTCTTTACAATAACTTCTAATTGTTTTTGCACTTTTCTTCACGGTGGCATCCAAAAGATAATGCAGTTCATTGCTTTGGATGTCTTGCTTCCTTATTTAAACGGGTGCTTGATTGTTCGGATTTTTGTTGCTCAAAAAGCAACAAAAAACCTTGACAGTGTTAACAAATTACTTAGGGGTGTTAAAATGGGTCGGTTTCGGATTTGACCTGAAGTTGACCCGAATCGGATCAACCCAAACCCAATCCGTTTAATAAATGCTCAAAAAATTCAACCTGACCCGATAACCCTCTTTAATTAAAAAAAATAGCTTTTAAATAATAGATTGTAAATTAATTTATGAAATAAGAAGATTATACTAATAAATAAAAGAATTAAAAAATATTAAACTGGTAATTTCGGGTCAATATTAGGTTGGCAAGTCAGACCAAACCCGTCTTATTTAATAAACAAGTTGAAATGATTGATTCGAATCAGACGTGCTTCTGAAACAGATCAACCTGAACCCGGATTTTTTGAGCCGGATTGGTAGGCCGGGTCATTTTTTGACACCCTGAAATTTCTAGCATTTTTTGAGAAACCAAATCTGGGAACTTGTTCCCAAAAGTCGCTACGCTGTGCTATCATCAGAGTTATAATATATTAATATAGAATCATGTATAATGATGGCTCCGTTGTATGATCTTAAATATTTCGGTCAATCCATGTTTTCTGAAGTTGGATTACATGTTCAAGGAAGAAATGCATTTTTCCAGGTCTGTTTCTTATGCTGTCATGTGAATTATCAATAAGGAGCGGCTCTTCACAATCGAGTGCTAAATCACGATTGTTGTTGATTTTTTAAAAGACTCTAAGAACAGATCAAGAAAAACAATGATACAAGTTTAGAAAGATGATGAGCAAAGCAAAAGTTATATATTTTGATAATTTATTGAATAGGTTGGTACCAAGGAAGACAAGAAAGAGATATGTAGTGCAAAACTGAGAGATCAATAGACTTCGCTCAAGGATAATAGGATGTTAGTTAAAGATGAAGATACAATAGAAATATAGAAACCTTGTTTTGAGAAACCATTAAATAAAAATTTTAAACAGGAACTAAATTGATGGAGTTTAATAAAATAATAATAAGATATATTTTAAGATTGATACAAAAATGAAGTGGAATTAGTTCTGAAGATGCATAAAAGATTAAATTTTTGTCCTGGATGAGGTATATAGTTGGACTTGAGAAATTAAAGGGGGAATTGCAATGGTTTGATTAACATATGTTTTTATTATAATTTTGAGTATTATGAGGATGCAAAATGGTTGGAAAAGAAACATTTGGCAACAATAGTTAAGAACAAAAGATATGCATAAAATTTTACTTAAGTGCAGAGGAGTTAAATTTATAAGTCATACTATGAAGATCTGAAATAGAGTAATGAATATAAACTTAAAAAAGGTACCTTAATTTCAAGTAAGTAATCAGATTTCATCTTAGAAAGATTTATTATGAAAGCATTTTTGACGTTAAGACAATTGATATATATATAATAAAATAAAGGATCTTCATTATGGTAGTGATTGATCTTCATAAAGAGTACAATTGAGCACCACGATTATTGATTTGGTATGTATTAAGATAGAAATGTGTTTGTATGTCAAACATAGAGAAAAAAGTCAAAATGATCCTAGGACTATTTGTATGATGCTAGTTTAGTTCCTTGACTTTTCAAATATGATCTCTCAAATAGTCCCTTGAATCCTTAAATATGATTCAAAATAGTCTTTTTATTGGATTATTTTTTTATCAAATTTGTGGAATAAATTGACTATCTTGTATCTGATTTGATGAGTCAAATGCCTAAATTCGACATATTAGATAATCTTAGCCGAAGTTGCCCCTTATAAATAGTTCAGAGATCATTATGAACCTTTTTTTTTTAAAACACATGTTGAACCTTGAAAGATTTATATGATGGGGCATTGACATATTATAAGCAATATTTAGTGATCATTGATTTTATATTGGCTATGGAGATGTTTAATAAGGTTACTCTAAATTAGGTATTTTGGTGTATATTTTGTTAGATGACTGAGTTCTAATTACTGACATCAACTAAAAAAATTGGAGAATTAGGACATTGGAAAAAATTTATAGTAAATAGAGGGTTTAAATAACTTAACATGCTATATGGAATTTTAATGGTTTGATATCGATAATTATTTATCAATATTTTTTTAGAATATTGTAATTTCTATATGTGATATGTTTAGATACATTAGATTTGTTATATAAATAAATGGGAAATAAATGAAGATATAACTTCTAGATTTAAGAATGTGGTCAAAATGATGTACCTTAATAATATTATGCAATAAGAGAATATCATGGGGACTTAATAATAAATTTTGTAAAAATGCAATCAGCTTGATTATATTATATGGATTCTAGTATTAGGCAATAAAAAAATTTATTGATAGCTAAGTAGACAGCAGTAGAAATGAGAATGTTAATATGGATACAACAACAACAACAACAACATCAAGCCTTTATCCCACTACGTGGGGTCGGCTACATGAATCCTTTTTCTCCATTGTGTCCTATTAAAAGCCAAATTCTCGTTTAAATCTAATAAAGAAAGGTCATTCCTAATATTTTCTAACCAAGTCTTTTTAGGTCTACCCCTACCTTT